GTAGATATGAATTTGTAAAAATACAAGAACGACACAGTTTATATTTGCCGGAGTGTGAAAGAAGTGGTTTTTTAAAAGAAAAATCTCTTTAGAGTTATAGTATGAATTGACGTTGGTTGTAGAGTTTTGTGTTGTATGTGTTGTGACAATTAAGCTCGGTCTTTTGTGAGAAACGTTAAAGAAAGCAGCTGGCCCCAAATAGGTTCCCTCAAAAGTTCCATCTACAACCTGGCTGTAGTAGATGAGGACTCTGCTCACACTTAAATAATGCCACGGTTCTTGTTTTGCACCCCATTTGTCTCCAATTCACTCCAGAACTGTCCAAGATCTTGTTACAAGGCTTTGTAGGGATGGAGCCTAACATAAAATATCCACTGAACTGGCTTCAGTGCTATCATAATCGTACACACGAAGCTGCATAATACTGAATCAGACCCTCAGTCCATCAGGATCAGTACTGTCTACTCGGACTGGGAACAGTTCTCCAGGGTCTCAGGGAAAGCCCTGGTCCTTTTCACTGGAGATGCCAGGGATTGAGCCTGGGACCTTCTGCATGCCAAGCAGATGCTCTGCCACTGAGCCAAAAAAAAGCCCTCCCCATAGTCGATTAAGAACATAAGAACAAAAGCTTCCAGAAAGCTTTTGATAAAGTTCCTCATCAAAGGCTCCTAAGTAAGCTCAAAAATCATGGGATAAAAGGACAAGTCCTTTTATGGATCAAAAACTGGCTAATTAATAAAAAACAGAGAGTGAGTATAAATGGGCAGTTCTCTCAGTGGAGGGGGGTAAGCAGTGGGGTACCGCAGGGATCAGTACTTGGTCCACTGCTTTTTAACTTGTTCATTAATGATTTGGAGTTGGGAGTAAGCAGTGAAGTGGCTAAATTTGCGGATGATACGAAGTTGTTCAGGGTGGTGAAAACCAGTGAGGATTGTGAGGCACTCCAAAGGGATCTGTCAAAGATGGGCGAGTGGGCGTCAACATGGCAAATGGGGTTCAATGTGGCCAAGTGCAAGGTGATGCACATTGGAACCAAAAATCCTAAATATAAATACACGTTGATGGGGTCTGAACTGGCAGAGACTGATCAAGAGAGAGATCTTGGAGTTGTAGTAGATAACTCACTGAAAATGTCGTGACAGTGTGTGACTGCAATAAAGAAGGCCAATGCTATGCTGGGAATTATTAGGAAAGGTATTGTAAACAGATCAGCCAATATCATAATGCCGCTATATAAATCAATGGTGCGACCTCATCTGGAATACTGTGTGCAATTCTGGTCACCACACCTTAAAAAGGATATTATAGCTTTGGAAAAAGTGCAGAAAAGGGCAACTCGAATGATAAAAGGGTTGGAACACTTTCCCTATGAGGAACGGTTAAGGCGCTTAGGGCTCTTTAGCTTGGAGAAACGACGACTGAGGGGTGACATGATTGAGGTTTATAAGATTATGCATGGGAAAGAGCAGGTAGAGAAAGAGGTACTTTTCTCCCTTTCTCACAATACAAGAACTCGTGGGCACTCCATGAAATTGCTGAGCGGTCGGGTTAGAACGGATAAAAGGAAGTACTTCTTCACTCAAAGAGTGATTAACACTTGGAATTCACTGCCACAGGAAGTGGTGGCGGCTACAAGCATGGACGGCTTCAAAAGGGAATTAGATAAGCATATGGAGCAGAGGTCCATCAGTGGCTATTAGCCACAAGGTATATAGATAGGGACTCTGGGGCAAGTGATGCTCTGTCATCTTGGTGCTTGGGGGGGTCAACAGTGGGATGGCTTCTAATGTCCTGGCCCCACTGGTGGACCTCCTGATGGCACTGGTATTTCTGGCCACTGTGTGATACAGAGTGTTGGACTGGATGGGCCTTTGGCCTGATCCAACATTGGCATCTCTTATGCTCTTATGTTCTTACGACAGAGTGAGCTCCCGTCTCTAGTTCCAGCTCCTGCCAACCTAGCAGTTTGAAAGCAAGAAATTGCAAGTAGATAAATAGGTACCACTTTAGTGGGAAGGTAACAGCGTTCCGTGCAACTCATGCCGGCCACATGACCACGGAAACATCTTCGGACAGCGCTGGCTCTTTGGCTTTGAAATGGAGATGAGTACCGCAACCCTAGAGTCGGATTCGACTAACTTTCGAGCAAGGGAACCTTTACCTTTACAGGGCATGCCACAGTTCTCTCTCTAGTGGATGGGGCTATGTTTCCTTTGATCCTTCCACCTTCTGTAAAAGGGTGCTCTTCCGCTTGCATCTTGTTGCGCTATGCGTCTAGGGTTTAGTACTGCATTGTAACTCCATAACTATGATTTATTGCAGAAATTGGTAATCAGATATGACAGATCTTTGATTCTGTGCCTGGTAAAGAAACATTGGCTGTGGGCTACATAGATCCCAAGCCATCGTTATGATACCTGTAACCACTTCATTTTAAAGTATGGCTGATATATATCATAGCTAGTAATGTTAACATTCTGGATGGTTAAAATGTGATTGTGGTACACCAGGTTCCAAATACACCAAGAAGTTCAACATCTTTTAGAAGACCACCTCATTGTTCCTTTCCGAAGCCTTAGTTGTGTTAAAGCTCTCCAGACTCTGATTATTGAAAATTGCAGAAACTGAATTTAAAACATCCTTTTAAAAGGCACTCCAGTTTGGAAAAGGATGGGAATTGTTTTTCCAGTTTGAAGCCAGCACTGCGACTCATTGGGATTGAATGTTTTTCTTCCTGTGTTAATGAGAATTACTTCCTCCTTCCTCATCTGTCTCCATAGCAGCACAGCGTCCCCCAGCAACCGGGAGATGCTTGAATCTCATGTTCTAGGCAGGCAGAAGGTGAACCTGTGTGAAATGGCCTACTGAAAGAGAGATCAAAGATGCTCTTTGTCTTCAATTATTCACAATATGCATTATTAATTGATTGCGCTTTAATTTTTTTTGCTGGGCAGAGGGGGAACAACTGATGGAAGGAAAGGCCTACCACTGAACGTTTCAAAGCATTTTATTGTGAAGCAGTAACTGGACTGGCTGTTTTAAGATGAAACCTCTTCTCTTGGGGAATCAGCTTACAATTAATATTGTTCTGGTGACTCGAGGGCCCCGGAGACCTTCAGTAGCTAGCTTGCTACCATCAAGGTAAGGCCTTCACCGAAGCAGAACTAGCATGTGCAGTTGTTGAGTGCCATTGAAAGAAAAGGAAACAGGTGAGGTGGCTTTCATATTACTGTACTCCTCTAGTTACTTAAATACGTTATATTTCCTGCTGTAGTACTTGCTTTTTTAATTCACACCTGTGAACCCTTGTGAGGGCCTTGAATCCTGTCTGCTCTTGACGGGTGTCTGGAAGAGGGTAAAAACAATCAGCATGCAGCTATGCAGTATTGAAGGAGACACAGAAAGCTTTAATAGATTCAGTTGCCCCCCCCCATGTTACCATTCATGTATTTGCTTCTTTCACAGTGCACTTTCTGCAGACACTTTTCTGAAACCCTATTGAATAGATCTGGGCAGGATCCTGAGTAGAAACTACTTAGGACTGATCTCTTACCAATATTTGTTTTAGAGGGACTGTAGTTCAGCAGTTCGAGACCCGGGTGCCGCAAGATGGAGTGAGCTCCCATCTCTAGTTCCAGCTCCTGCCAACCTAGCAGTTCGAAAGCAAGAAATTGCAAGTAGATAAATAGGTACCACTCCGGTGGGAAGGTAACAGCGTTCCGTGCACCTCGGCGTTTAGTCATGCCAGCCACATGACCACGGAAACGTCTTCGGACAGCGCTGGCTCTTTGACTTTGAAACGGAGATGAGCACTGCAACCCTAGAGTCGGATTCGACTGGCTTTCGAGCAAGGGAACCTTTACCTTTACACTGGTTTACCATGACTCCCCACCACCACCACCTC